TTTTTGGGGTGGTTAGACAACAAATACAAATGAAAACATTACGTTTGTGTTTGTGCGACTGTAAAATCTTATGAAGCTTTTGCATGCCATACTGTAGTATCGTTCAGTTATCTTCAAGAGTAAAAAAAAATTAATAATGAATTCAAATTATGTGTAAATCCTTTATGCAAACAATTTTTCATATTTAAAATAATTAAAAAACAAATGCAAACAAATTTTCCATTTTACCACATAAAAAATATTTTTTATTTGTTGAGAAAAAAAAACAACTCATAATTGCGCTTGTATAAGTTCATCCACATGCATAGCCATAATAAGAAAAAAAAAAACGGGAATTTTCCGCTTTTCTTTCTACACTGCTTATTTTTTTAATGTTCATTGCTCTTTTGAGTTTTTTTTTGCAAATATTTTTTTTTTGTCAAGGAAAAACCTTAACCTATGCCAATGCGCAATAACGGCGCCCTGCAACTGAAAATGTATACATGAAAAAAAATGTCTATAAACTGATACTTCAGGAAGTGACAATTGCTACGATAAATTTATCTTAAGCGCATTAAAATAAATATGAGATTCCTGAATTTAATGTCGCCTGAAAAAGAAATTGCTCTTAGAATGCATTAAAAACGTATTGAAAAGAGACATTTAATTATAATTTTATGTGCATGTATGTTGTCATTGCTGTTTTTATTTCACTGAATGAGACTAAAATATTGCTTATAAATTATGAGATTTAACAGATTTTAATATAATTTATGCTGCCTCCAATATGTTTATTCAGGAAATGTTATGATCTTGTAGTTTTAATAATTTCAAGTTTATTTATTTCCGTTAAAATTTTAAGTTGAATAATTTTCATAAAATTAAATTTTATGGGATTTTTATTTGAAATGATGCAGTCTTTGAGTTGTGAGTTACAAACTTACTTACTCCACTGGTCGTACAGATCAATTACGATCCATGACCTCCCTTAGTCGTCTTCTAAAACTAGGTCTATCGCTGACAACCGTCTGCGAATTGTCGATTTGTGAATTAGAATGGTTAATTGGATGAAGATGAAAGGATTTAGATAAAAGCTCAAATAAGTTCAAATCCTATCAATGAAAATTCTCACGTGACCTACCTGAAAGTTTGAGATTCTCTGATATTTGCCATATTATTTAAATATCTAACTTGAGAATTACAACACATCAAGTCCTTAAAAACCTTCGTTTAATCTCACTCCTTAGTTGAATAAAGAAGTCAAAGCTAAAATCAGTCAAACCTCAACACATTCATGTCTTTTCCTTTAAGCACAATTTAACCTTGCTCACTGCTTTTCTGTTTTATTTATTATCCTATATTTATGTGGTAGCCGTAGAAAAAGAAAAAGCAAATAGAAAGATTTTCCATTTGTCATGCTCATAAAATATTGATTCTTTGCTTGAAAAGATCCTTCAACTCTTATTTGATGAACTTTGACCTTCTGGTAATTTTATTAGTCATAATATTTCATTATTGTGTCAAAAACTTAAACTTTTTATTCATTTCTAATATTTTTAAATATGAATGGGTTGAACATACAAGGAAGATTGCAAATTATCGATTCGTCGAACAACCTACAATATTGAAAACTCTCACTTATATTTATTTTCTGTCTTGACTTGTTAATAATTGAAATTGTAACTTGTTAAAATTTCCTGATCCTATAAATTACCAGCACGTAATGAATAGTATAAAAAAAAAAACAAAGAAAGAAAAGAATAAAACAAAAAATTCGAAATTATTATTTACCTACTATGTAAGTAATTTGTTATTGGATATAAGTACATACATTATTCAAAAAGGAAGCGTTAACTTAATAACACGAATATAGTTTCATACATTCAATATAAAGATGAAATAATTTTTTTTTTCATTTCGTTGGTTTCATTTGTTCGATGCATATTATGCAAAATGATTGACAACAAAATTACTCTGCTGCGTAAACTTAATTCTTCTTCCTTTTCCTATTTCTCTTTTTTTCTGTTTTTTTTATTTTTCGGCAAAGATAAATAAATATTTTTCATATTTTTGCTTTTCACACTTTATTTTTTGTTTGAAATAAAATAAAATTGTTATTAATATTAAATTATTATATCTCTTTTACATCTGCTTGTATAAGCATAAGGAACTAGTCGAGAAAGGTATTATTTAATTTTTGGTTGGAAAGCATTTTGGTGGGTATGTTGCATTGGCTTAAAGTTTTTTATGATTGAGCAGTTGATGGATTATTGCTTGAGACAAAGTCTATTCTCGTTGAATTAATTGATAACATAACGACTCAGTGAATCATAAAAAAATGTGAGCTGCATTGATAAACTGGGAAATCCATAGCTGAATCATATATTTTAGAAACTTTAGGTCTTGTTTTAGCTATACTATTCATAAAACACATGCAACCAGTTTTTTTTAAAAAAAAAAACTAGGTTTTTCCAACAACATTTCCACAAAATTAAAAATATTTTTATTATATCAAAATAAGTAATCCCCTTTTAAATTAAAAACAAAGTAAATCCCCAAGCAAAAATCAAAAGTGATCCACAATTGCACAATTTATGTTGCGAAAAATTGCTAAAAAACTGAATATATAAAAATTTCTAAAGAAGTACGAAGAAAAAGTATAAGCCAAATACAATTATTCACACTTCATTATTTGTTAAATTGCGTTTGAAAATTTCGCAAAAAAGAAAGAATTTAAAAAAAAGCAAAAGAAAGAAATTATTTACTTTCTATATTTCTTTTTGCTTCTTCATATTTAATAGTGTAGTACAATAGATCTCGCTTTTTTGCATTAAATAAATAATATTATCTAAAAATGGATGGCGCTCAAGCGATTAAAAGAAAAATAAATTTCATCAAATTAAGAGGAACGAATCAAGACGCGAACGAGTTCAAAAATATTTTCTGCACAACTTACTGCTTAAACAATTTATTTTCATCACACTATGAGCTTCCTCGTGGCATTCATACATATAGTCGTGCAATATCTTGTCGTTTGGAATTTCGTCTTAAATTATCAAAAAAAAAAAAGAAAATAAGAAGTTTAGAGCAATAGACGACGCATTTCGCCTTTTTTTTTATTACAAAAATAAATATCTTGATGTGAAAATGTTTCTCATTTCCTTCTTTTTCTTGTCTTCGTTGTTCTCTTGTTGATGAGAAATTAAGAGCTAGAGACTATGTTACTTTGTTGGCCCCCAGTGAACATGTTTATTTGAAATATTTTTTACTCTTTCATACACTTTAGAATTTGCATGAGTTAAGAAGAGCACAGAAAGGAGTAAATAAATTTATGCTGTCTGCTTTATATGGTGTAGCGATTCATAGTGAGAAGTCGCAGTATGAGATTTTTAGCATGCATTTATTCTGGTTTTTTTGCCATAAAGTATCGATTTGACGAAAGTTATTGAAATTAGTTTCCTTGGCTTAATCTGTTGATTTAATCAAAATCCAGCAATTGAGGTTTCTTAAACCCTTGAAAAATTCTAAAATCTTGTTCTATAAAGATCTAATGACTTGATCAGATTTCAAAAGTACCTTGATTATCAAATCCACAACTGCATCTCATGTTCAAACATTAAGTTCAGTAGAAATGCAGATTTAATATCAAAACTATCTTAAACTCACTAATTGGCTTCACTATTATAAATTCAGGAATAATTTTGAATATCTTTAGCAAACTTGCAGTTAATTTCACCTGCAAAGGAACATAAACTTTATCATTGAACATATCTACAAAACCATAAAACTCGAGAATCTCTAAACCTAGATGTCTGAAACTTACGATTTACTTGAAGAAGTAGAAAGAGTCGAGAAAAATTAAAATTCATTTACAGGCATCGTTAATTAAATAATACAGTAGCGTATAACAATTAGTACGCGAAGATATGTAAATAAATTTTAAAGATATTCATCAAAAAGTTAAAAAAAAAGAATCAACATCTCAGAAGAAGATTGATGTAATGCTGTAACACATATTCTGACATATTCATAAACTAGTAATGTCTACACAAGTGCAGAGTGAGTGCAAAAGATCATAGCGCAGTTGACAGGAAACGACAAATGCTGATTCCCTCTCTCTTTAATTTCAATGAATACTCGCTAATCATAAGTACTATGACACTCATGAATTAATTAATTAAATCGTCATCGAGAATGACATGAAAGCGGATATTGCAACGAACTCTGTTCCTCATTTCCATTCCATCTTTGACTTGACTTGCTTCTTTTTTTTTGTTTCAACAAAAAAGTCAACCGAAATAAAAATCACACTTGTATTAAAAATATAAAATATTTCTTACGAACATCCATCTCTTTCACTTTGTTTTCATTGCTTACGTATAGTCTGTGTTCTATAAATAATGCTGCCAATTAAGTCCTACTAACATGCAATGCACGATAAATATAAAAGGAAACTTTACTGTTTTTTTTTCTTATTCTAAGAATACTCAAAATTGATTTTGAGCGCCACTTTAATTAATTTTTAACTGCACTTCTGAAAAATTTATGGTAGTCATTGCGTTAGGGACAATGTCCATCTGGATTTGGTTAATTGTTTTATATTCCATAAAATGGCATCAGTGACCAAAGATGTAGAGCTTTTGCATATCAGAGATCCGTAATAAAGATCCTCGGTTCTATTCCCAATCATATTTAGTTGAAATCTTGTAATTCATTCCTAAGGTCTGGACAGAATACTCAGATAGTAAGTTGTGTATCTAAATTGATGCATATTCATATTACAAAGCATATGAAGACCTTGAGAAATTCTCTGATTACAGTTGAATGTAAGGATCTACCAAATCATAAACTCCTAGTTTAACAAAATATTAAACATAAGATTATATAATTAAATTTAACATTTTAAAATTGAAGCATATCCACAATTAATTTTTAATGACTTAAATTCCTTTATAATGAAATTTCACAAGAATCAACCGAAACAATTAATTCTAAATCCTAAATTCTTTATTTATTTTCAGGTTATTTATTGACTCGTGTGGAGGGTAAAATTGGATCTCCAGAGAAACCATTGTCTGATCTCGGCCTTATATCATATCGATCGTATTGGAAGGACGTTCTTCTGGCATATTTATGTTCTCATTCGGGTCGTACGCTCAGCATCAAAGACATTTCACAAGTGAGTATAAAAACAATAAAAATTAAAATATTTTTGTCAATTGGAATGCTTCAACTTTATTTTATGATTGCACACACGACGAGGAGATTCAATTATAATTTTTTTGGACATTCGAAATACTTATTTTCCACCTGTAAGCATTTATTGCCAATAACTTGCAATTTTATTTATTTTATTTATTACATTTTATGATGTCTTATTTAAGTCGTAATTATTCCGTCAAAAAGAAAACATGCGTAAATTACATTGATCGAACTTAATTACTTCATTAAAGTTTAATCATATACGTGGGTAGTGAAGCAACGAATACGGTGGTCATATTTGAAAGGAAGAGATCTTCTTTTTATTATGGCTCATTTAAATGATCCAATTTTTAATCGCTTGGATCAATGTGCAACTGGATTAATATTATGTTATTATTATTGCTATTATCTTTCATCATTTTTGTCTGTATCGATGGATCCAGGTGATTTTTATCAATTTTATTGGTTGGCTTTAATAGCTACTTTTAATTAAAAATATTTCACATAAAAAAATCGACTGAGAAATAAAGGAAACAATGTGCGATGGAGAAAACGACATAAAATAATGGATGAATGGTATAAAATAAAAAATAAATGCTTTAAACTCATGAAATTGGATCATTAAATTCAGTCATAACTAAGAAACTATAAAAGTTGGTGAAGAAACTTGTGTAAAATCAAAGAAAAAATGCTCTCCAATTAAAAGATTATAAGTTAGTTTATTTTCGTTTTGATTGAGCCTTAACATGAACAAATTGATGTTCTATTTAAGTTTTTTTTTTTTGGGGATAATTCAGAGATCGAAGCCGATTTTTTCGGCTTAACTCAATTTTTGATTTTTTTGATAGAAAAAAGCCATTTCACACCCATTTCAAGTATTTAAATTGAACTTTACATGCTTTACTATGATTCTGTGTAATATTTTGTCAGCATGTAGCTATAGTGAGCTCAGAATTTTTTTTTTTTTTTTTTTTTTTTTTTTTTTTATTGATTCCATAACAATATTGTAGTATAAAACTATGTAATATGTATTTAACAATTGTATTTAAAGAAATTATTAACTTTACTACCTAAATCTAGTTATTGTATCTCGCCATAACACCCACATGTATATGTTCGCGCAGTTTCGATTTGAATTTACTTATGCTTTTCTGGCTTTTAATCTGATCAGGCAAATTATTATATTGTAAGAAGGCTCTAACAAAGAAATTCATTGTTCCTAACTGAGTTTGTGTTCTGTGTGTTACTATATCCTCATTGTTTCTAGTAGAGTATCTGTGTACATTGTTAACGTATTGGATGCTAAAGTTGATTTTTGCTAAATCATTTACTAATTTAAAGGTTAATATAGCAGATGATATTTGACACATTGCTCTGATAGGAAGGATTTGAAGTGAGTATAGTTCTGAACCACTACAGTACCAATTCTTACATAGGACAATACGCAGTGATTTTCTTTGGATAATTTCCAGTGAATCAAGTACGTATCCAGGTGCAGCTATCCACACAGCATTCATATAATTAAGTCGGCTTTGAATGTACGCAAAGTAAAGTGTTTTTGCCGTTTTATCGTTAATAAATGGACGAATTCTTTTTAACGCAAATATGAAAGACACAATTTTATTTTGTAGGTCATAAATGTGTTGTGAGAATGAGAGTGTTTCGTCAATTTGAAGGCCTAACAGTTTTGTGCACTCCACTCGCTGTATGATCTTGCCATTAAAAGTTATGTTGAGCGTGTGTTCATAAAAGTCTTCATGCCTACGTTTGTTATGAAAGAGAATATAGTGAGTCTTTTTGGTATTAGCGAATAAGAAGTGAAATTTAAGCCATGTCACTATTAGTGCTAGATCATTTTCTAGTGTCTGTTTCAACTGCCAAGGATTTGATTCTTCGGTTACTAATGATATGTCGTCACAATACATTACAATGGATGAAATTAAGTTGCACTTGTTGATGCTGTTGACATAAAGGTTGAATAGTGATCCTGAAAGGACTCCTCCTTGCGCCAAACCAAATTCGACTTTACGGATCGAGCTGTGGACATTATCAAGCTTTACTACTTGTTTTCTATCTTTAAAATAATTCGTAAGGGTGTTAAAGAATTTGATCGGCAGTTTAAGCTTCTTCAATTTGTTTAACAGTATCGAGTGTATTACACAATCAAACGCACGGGATAAATCCAGGCATGTTAGGGATGTCGCTTGCTTATAATCAACGCCTTTATAAATATCATTGAGGATATGGAGTACGGCAATTTCTGTGTTTGAATTTTTGGTATAGCCAAATTGTGAATTATGGATTATGTGATTTCTCGTGAGGTGTTCATCAAGTCTTCTGAGAAGGACATGCTCATAAATCTTTGATATTATTGGTAGAATAGTTATCGGACGATAGTTTTGCATGTCAGTTTTTGCTCCATTTTTGTGGACCGGATTCACAACTCCCATTTTTAATGAGTCTGAGAATTTTCCTTCGTTCATTTCGTTGTTAATTAATATTTTGAGAATATTTAATAGGCTCTGTTTATGAATTTTGATAAAATTGTTGGAGACTCCATATATATCACACGCTTTTGAATTAGACATGTTGTCGATTATAATTTGTATTTCATCTTCCGTGCATGCCGGAAATTCACATTGATGTAGGATGTCATACACTTCCGCTGAATGATAAGCGTGGAATTCCTCATCATTAACTACATTGCTAGATATAAGTTCCTGTGTTTTAGTTACAAAAAAATTGTTAAATTTGGTTGCTATATTAGTTTTGTTAGTGATGGGTATTCCATTGTCGATTATTATTTCACATGATTGTTTTACGTCATATTTATTATATAGCTGTGCTTTTAATTGTGTCCATACTTTGCGCGGATTTCCTGCGTTTTCACTGAAGTATTGGTCCAAAAATCGTTTTTTATTTATTTTGATCATATTTGCTACCTTGTTCCTGTATATCCTGTACTGTTCTATTAGGTTATTACAATGCGGATACTTCTGTTTCAGTCTGAAGTAGTTGTTCCTTATTTTGATAAACTTTGCAATATCGTGGCTTATGTATGGTTTACTTCGTTTTGACTTTATAATTATTGTGTTGGTGTTTGCTGCTATCAAATCTTTGAGATGTATAAGAAAGCTATCCATATCCGTTACACAAAGATTTTCTATTAGCTTGGAGTCAGTAATCTTTTTGTGGTTTATTATTTTAAATAGTGTTGGGTTTTGAACATTTGTTGGTGGATTAGTAAGCATACAAGCATTTCAATTTAGTCGATGATAAGCCGATCGGCTTAAATTTCGGCTTAACATTCTTTAACTTGAAATTCTGAGCTCACTATAGCTACATGCTGACAAAATATTACACAGAATCATAGTAAAGCATGTAAAGTTCAATTTAAATACTTGAAATGGGTGTCAAATGGCTTTTTTCTATCAAAAAAATCAAAAACTGAGTTAAGCCGAAAAAATCGGCTTCGATCTCTGGGATAATTATTATAGATTTTTAAAATTGTTGAAATAGGATGATTATTTCGAGTTACTTAAGAATGAATTAAGGAACATTAAGTAAATAGTCGACCTAAAGCATTTTACATTGAAGGTAGCATTGCGCTTAGCTGCTATAGGGTGTTGGATTGATGAGTGAAATCTTGTTGAAATATTTCAACATAGTCATATCGAGCACTAGGGAAGCGTGCCATGGGTAGCCCTAGAAAGCTGCCTCAATGACCTCTCCTCATCTAGGCTCTAGGCAGACATAATTGTTATTTAAATTCAACAACTATACCCTACTACATTCAGTTCAGAACTGGAAAGAAAAAAAACACTCATAAAATCCATAAGTTCTGTTTAAAGACCAATAAACACCATTAAATCTTTTCCAACAACTTGTGCAAACTCAATCTGAATGCATATTTTCCTTGCAGCTATGAAAGTATCAAATCTATTTAAAAGTTGACCTATACATTTATTTCCTTAAACATACTCATCTATAATAATGTATCCAATCATATGTGTATCGCCTCAAGTATGTGAATTAGCAATAAAATATTTTAATCATAAAAATTAATGAATTCATCATAGATATAAATAGAAATGCAAAAGTTTATTGCAAATAAAATTTACTGGAACAAAATTATGACACTAATGATCATTTAGCCGCAAGCATTATTGGTGAAATTGTCTATTTCAAGGACCATAAAGCGTTCCGTCCACAATTCAAAATGATATTAATCTTAATTGATACCTTTCAGGTGTTAAATTTATGAGACCAAGTGTGTGCAACAATCTTAACTCGTAAATCATCAGTTTCTATATAAATATGTTCTACCTTCTCTTATTTTGAAATGCTCGCTTTTCCATTTGAATAATTTTTATTGATTTCACAGCTTTGTGATTTTTTTTCCCTTCCATAAACAAACCTTATTTTGTTATTGCTCTTAATAATGCCCATAAATTTATATATATTTTAAAAAGAAACGGCTCTTGAACGAGATAAAGAAATGCAAAAAATAACTCTTTTCATTTGCTTTCATTTGATATTATTTTACTCGAGTAAATCAAGCGCCTTTTTTTATTATTTTAAAAGGCAAGATTGATGACAATGCAAATCAGAATGAAATGTGATGAATTAAGTAGAATTTTGGTTATGGGAAAAGGAAATCTTTATTGTTATAACGCATTTTGTGATTAAAAATGCTATGATTAGCATGGAATATTAATCTTTGAGAGTTAAAAGAGAGAAAAAGCATTGCTTAGACACTAGAAACCAACTTAAAAAATTAAGAAGAATGAATCCACAAGTTTTAATTATCTTATCCAATATAACATTATCATCAATGACTACACAACTAAACCTGTGTCCACTCGGGACTTCGCTGGTGATCCATGGCCTCCCTAAATTAGCACTTTTATCATGTTTTATGACTTCAAAACGGTCATGAAAATCATTTAGTGTGTCGCGACACTATTCAGGTGTTAC